CCAGATTCAAAACTAGTCAGAGTGATCGGAATTGGTTACTTGTTATAAAGGTTCACTAGCACTTGTAAAACTAGTGGTTGTTAGGAAAAATATGTGATTCCCCACAAGTAAATCAATCAATCGGAATAAAAACTAATGTGGAAAAATTAAATCAAAAGCAACATAAGAATTTTACGTGGTTCCCTCAATGTGAGGTACGTCCACGAGATCGAAATCCGATTCCACTATCAACCAAATAAGTTCCAAACGATTACAAACGAGACACTAATGGTCTCACAAAATCACCTTTAGGTGAATTTCAAATAATCACAAATAAACAAGAGGAAAGACCTCACCAAACAGATGAACTAAAATCTTCAGAATCAAAATTATAGAAGACCCAAAATAACGAACCAAATCAGAACCGAAAACGGACCAAACAAACTTCCAAACAAAGGAAACAAAAACTTGAACAAATCAAGCACATGGACAAATCTTCCCCAATTGTCAATTCACCGGCAATATTACCGAAACAGTATATGTCGTATGGTAGCCGCACACTTCGAATCAATATATATAAATATATTATTGAATCTTAAGTTTTATAATCAAATCCTAATTGTTATCAAATTGGATTGGGTCTCCACTAATATAATATATAAAAATATATTATAGTTAAACCAAGCCAAATTAAAATTCTTTAACAAACTAATTGGGTCCCACATTTCAATAAGGAGGTATACCCAACAGTAGTTAATTACTATTTGAAGAATAGTAGAGAAATTTCTGAGGAGGATACTTGGAGATTGGACGTAAGCCTGACATGCCGAACCACATCGCTGTGTTTGCTTTCTTTTTTCTTCGTTCATTTTATTTCTTTACTCTATTTTAAACTGTTGAACATCTTTATTTATTTATTTATTATTTGGGTTGATTTTTTAATTTACCAATTTATTTAGAAATCCAATTCACCTCCTCTTGGGTTGTCTTCTGGGTAACAACTACTGACTGCAACATTCAAAAAGCTCGTGCATAATATTGGGATGCGTCAACATAAAGTTCTATTATACAATTTTGAGAGAAAGTCATCGATTTAAGTAAATTTGCAGATTGTACTCTTTTTTCTTCTTCTAAGGTTTTTTCTCATTGGATTTTCTTTAGCAAGGTTTTAATCAGACAATCTAAACAAATCGCATACTAGAATATTGTTCACCAAAGGTTTTTTCCCACTGGATTTTTCTTGGTAAAGTTATAACGATGTATATTCTTAGTATATAGTTATGTAATGGGGAGTGTTGTGAAATATTTGGATAACCATTAAAAATATATCATTTTGATTCATGATAAAAAGATAAGATTAATGGAACATGGTGGAATTTAGTAAATGAGATTGTGTTAATTTACCTACCTGTCCAACCTCAACACTCCTCCAATCTCACTATTTTCACTTACCAATAATGCTTGAGACCACTAAAAGTGGTGCTCTAAAAGCACCACTAGTGATGTGGCAGTGGACGGGACCCACTGTTTGTGTCTTGTTTTTTTTTTTTTTTTTTTTGGTTAAAGTGCTTGCCAACTCATTAGTGGTGCTTTAGAGCATCACTTTTAGTGGGATGTATCATTACCCTTTCACTTACTATACCAACAGTGGCGGAGCCAAGAAATTAAAGCAGAGGGGACAATTATTAATTACAATATTAAATTTTTTTATAAAAATATTTAACATAAATTTCCACCACTAACTTCAAGAAAGATAAAAAAAAAATTAATCAGTGTGTTTGGTTTTAGTTTTCTGAAAACTAAGTTTTTTATTTTTTGTATTTTTTTTATTTTAGTGAATATTTTTTAAATTTTAAACAATTTTTTTTATTTTTTTAGATGCACATTACTTAGATATATATCCAAATAGTAAAATATTTGTGAAAAAATATTTGAAAAAATTAATAAATACACAAAAATATAAAAAATGTACTGAATTTTCATATTATTTTTTGGTATTTAGTGTATTTTTAAAAAAAAAAAATTCACAAATATTATACTTTTTAGGTATATTTATGTTAGGTGTGTCTGAAAATTAAAAAAATTTGCTTAAAATATTAAAAAAAAATTATTGAAAACATTAAAATACGGAAAATAAAAATATAGAATTTTTTGAAAACTGTTTTCTGAAAACTAGAACCAAATAAGCTGAATATTATTTGTAATTAGTGTATCATGGACAATATTAAAAAAAGTCATTGATATAAAGTTTTAAAATAAATTATATAATGATAAAGTAATTTTTTTTATACAAAATATGCGTAAAAATTCAATATAATAGTTATACCACGTCATCATTAACATGTAATATCACCAACCAATAGTAAAGAAACACATAGAAAATGAACACTACATGTCAAATGTAACTAATAATTCAATAAATTCTATATTTTCATTGAGATTAATTATGTTTGCATGTCAATAGTGATAGACATCACCATTACATTGAAATTTTCATAGATAATAATATCGTAATCACTTTATTTTCAATCAAAATAACCATTATTATCCTTATTATTTTAAAAATGTCATTGACATTTAAAATAGTATTTTTATAATTTTTTTTATTTAAAGTATTTTCTTTATGTTTGCTTTTTAAAAAAAAAAAAAAAATTTACAAAACCCAGGGGGCACGTGACCCCCCGGCCCCTTGATAGCTCCACCCCTGTTCACCAACCTTCCATCTCCACCAACTTCTTAAAATTCACATGTTGTATCTATTAAAATTTTGCCTATATAAACAAATGTTTGCTAGATGTTTTGGTATGCATAAGATTGAATGAGAAGAAATATTTACTCTCTTGATTTTAATTTTTTGCTAATCTCTTTAGCTCTTATTTTCTTGTCTATTACTTTAATTTTATGACAATTTGATAAGAATGGAATCAAAATACAGCTAAAACTAAACCCACACTTTTTAAATTCAAATGCATTGCACATGTATGAGATGGTCTTCTTGGGTAATTCAGAACACCACAACAGTAACTAGCAGTAATCTGACAACCATAACAATATTGGCTTGTGTTGAGGATATGTTTAAAAGAAATTTTTTGGTTTTTTAATTTTTTTGTCACACTTTTTCTTTATTTTTTTACATATATATATATATATATATATATATTTGAATAAAAAGTCAAAAAAATTAAAAAGTCATCTTTTAACTTACTCCGCAAAACAAGCCAATGATTATTGTCCAAAATTTACATATTTTTATTGTAAAGTTATGGATCAAAATCTTCTATCATTCTTTTCTCCACAATAATTTTACTTTGATAGTTCAATTGTTTAAATTCAAAATTAAAATAAAATGATATAGTTTTAATACGTTATCTTAATATTATCTTATTTTAGTTTTAAACTTGAATAGTTGATTTCCTAAATTTCAAAAACTAAAAAATTGATTTGACAAGAATGGAATCAAAAGACAGCTAAAATTAAAGGGTTATTTGAGATGATTTAAATAAATATATATATATTTTTATTTTTTAACAAAAAATATGCAGAAAAATATAGAGGTAATGTGTCTAAAAAAATAAAAAGATAAAAAAGTGTACTAATATAGGGGATTCCAAGCAACCTCTGACTTTATTAAAAGAGAAAGCGGTGAGAAAGCGGTATTGTTGGACTAGTAGGTGTTATTTCAACTATTTGAATCATATAGAGTTTGTCGAGTATTTTATTTTTCTAAAAAATCATATTGATCAGATATCGATAACTTCTAGATCATAACATATATTGTCAACAATTTATTTTTAAAATCATATTTACCATTGACAAAAATATGATCTAATCAAGAAACTATCAATATTGAGAGTAATTTTTTTTTTTGGTAGAGATAAAGTACTCGACAAGTTCTACACAATGACTGATTTGGATCATCGGAACGGGACCCATGGTAAACACCTTGGGCCCCACCCTTTGTTAAATTACACTTTGCCCCTTTATATTTGTTTATTTTCTTATTTGCCCTTTAAAAGTGTTTTTTTTTTTTCCTTTCAATATGACCTTTCATATTTCAAGTGTTTTTTTCATTTGCTTCTAAAGTTATTTTTTTTTTTTAAAAAATTAGATAGAAAATATCACATTAGATTTGTGATTTAGATTTGTGTTATAGATGTGAGTTATATATAATAAAATATTTTTATGCTACGTGATTATTAATGTGTCTAACTTTGAATATCAACCCAGGTTTGGTATGGGCTAAAATGGGGCTACCGGGTTAAAATAGTTACAAAAAGACAAAATATGTTAAAAAGTTAGTAAAATAAAGTGTCATATTCAAATCTTAATCATTTTTTTTCTTTCACAAAAATAAAAAATACTCATTCCAAACGAGACTTTTAATCCAGGCCAAAATAGCCAAAAAACCAACTCACTTCCCAAACCAAGTCTAAGGTCTCGTTTGACAATTTTTAGTTTTAGCCAAAAAGTTAAGAAGTTATTATAACTTGTCACATTACTCTCTCTACTTACCTGTATATCTTTTCATAAAAAGTCAAAAAATTACTAAGATAATATGTTCTCAAACGAGACTAGTTAGTTTTTAAATTAAGCTTTCGTTAGGGATGTGGGTTGACTTTTTGACTTTTTTAACTTGGGGCTAAAAAGTTTCATTTGTGATGAACTTTTTGACTTTTTTGAGAGAAAAAATAAATTGATTATGGTTTGGATGTGATATTTTGACTTATTGACTTTTTAGTTTATTTTATCTTTTTGTGACTAAAATAGCCAAAAAAATTTATGCCAAACATAGTCTAAAGAGTTGTTTGGCATAATCTAAATAAATATATTTTTTAATTTTTTTCTATAAAAAAAAGGAGATAAACAAAAGAGGTATGTTGAGAATAATTTTTTAGGCTCTGTTTGGTTGTTAATTCAAATCAATTTTCAACACGTGAGCTCGCGCATGACGTTTGGATACGACGTTCAAAAGTTGATTCCGCGTATTAATTCAAATTACATTTTGAAAATCTGTTTGGCAGCTTGTATGTCCCTTTCAACGTTTCTGCCTTCTTCAGCGTCTCTGCAACTTTCACGTGAACCTCATCTACACCAGTCCTTCAGATTCATCACGGGCGGCTTCTCTGTATCAAACATCCGTACTTCAGATTCATCACGGGTGGGTTTCAGAAGTTAGACTCATTTTATAAATAATGAATCCACCCAACCCGCTCTGTACTGGTATCATATTTCACAAATCAACTGAGTTACGATTTGTGTGTTGCGGACGATTTTTATTACGGGCAACCAAACAACGACGACTGCGAGGTGAAATTACTCACAAATTTATTTACATATTTTCTTATCGGGAAATTATTTGAGAAATTCATCCTAATTTATTTTTATTTTTTTTTCAGGTCAAATTTTTCAAATTTATTGTTGAATCCGACGAGCAAACAGTGGCACATTCAATCAGTATACACATTCCATTACCGGCGACAACTATTCAACTCCCACTAATCTGGTAAATAAATCCTTCATCCTTCATCTGTTATCTGAAAATGGTTTCAGACGAGTTGATAAATGATTTCATTCTTCATCCTTCATCCTGAACTGTTTCAACCTTTTTGTTATTCAAGAATAGTCAGTAAATCATTCATCTGTTATGTATAAATGATTTCGGAAAAGTTGAAATCAGTTCCTAAATGGTTTATGAGAATTGTAGAGGCGTATTTTCCATTTCAGATCGGTTGTTATTTTAAATTATGAATTGTTTGAACCTTTCATCGATCAGAACCTGAAGCGGCAATGCTTGGGACACCCGGCCGGTCGTCCCCCGGGTCATCCCGCCGGTCGACCCGCTGGTCTTCCACCCGGTCCTCCCACCTCTTCCGGTTTTGTCTTCCCGTTTTCTATTTCTTCCTTAATGGTTTGAACCTACTGGTCCTGCCCTCAACTGTTTGAACCTACCGGGCTTTTTTACTGATTTTTTTCCTTAATTTTTCTTTTACTGATTTGTTTCCTACTATTTAAACACAATGTTAACTGATTTTTTTTTATATTATTTGTGGTTATATTTCTGCTATCTGAATGTTTTTTTTTTGTGGTTATATTTTTGCTATTTAAATTCAATTAATCTGCTACGTACTTTTTTCCTCGAAATAAAATCATCTGTTCTTTTTCCTTTATCTGTGTTCTCCTTCAAACCAGTTTAAATATAATTTGTATGTTTATAGATGGATGTAAATAATTCCGATGACAATGAGAACAGCAAAATGTGGACGCCTAGAATTGAAACGAAATTAATAAATATGTTGAGAGATGAGGTTAGAAACAATCAAACAATGGGCCGTACTACTTCGTGGACAATTAGGCATTGGAATCATTATGCAAATCAGTTGCACAACATATATGGATTTCGGTATACAGGTGTTAAGGTGCGCCAAAACTGATTACCAGACATTTAAGCGACTCCAGACACAGACTGGTCTGGGATGGGATCCTACTATAGACACTGTTGTTGCACTCGATGAATTTTGGGATAAGGTTTTCCATTAATCTGTACTATTTTCTAATTTTATTTTAAATATTTCATGATATATACAGTGCTTAATTCTTGTTTTGTACTTGTTGTAGGCTAGCAGAAATGTGAAGAGGTTTAGGACAAAAAGGTTTGAATATTTTCAAAAAATGGGAGAAATTGTTGAAAATTGTTGTGCCATAGGGGCCCTGTCTCGTGCATCCACACAAGGATCCCTTGACTCAGAAGCAGAAGATGACATGTTAAATAAATTTTGGAACGCTGATGCTGGTGGGAGTAATGCTGGTGGGAGTAATGCTGCTGAGGCCATTCATGTTGACTTATTCGGGGATGAGTATATGGATCTAGCAAAGGGCAAAAGTCACAAGAGGGGCCCTGCAACCAGCCAGACTGACAGTGGTCGTTCTAAAAAGTCCCGGTCAAGTGGGTTTGATGATGTGTGCGCAGCTTTCACATCTTATGTACAAGCCAAAACAGGACATTCACGTGCACGAGAAAATGAGACTGAGGCTGTAAGTGCAGGTGGTGATGATTATTCCCTTGATGCATGTCAAGATGCATTGCTAGAGCTTGGGGACATACCACCGTTGCAGTACGTTAGGGCACTGACACTGTTCAAGGATAAGGAATGGCGAAGGTTTTTTATGCGCACTCCTACCCATTTGCGCCTAGCCATGATCCTCGCTTTGCAGTGACTGAGAAGTTCTGTTTTGCTTGTGTTACCAAATCTTCTTGGCTAAACTGTTTGGTGATTTCATTATTCCTGATTTGGTTTTTATTATTTTTTTTTTCATTTCATCATATCCTCTTTCCTTTTCTATGTTCGTATGTTTTTTTTTTTTGAACTTTTAAGTGTTTTCTGTTATATTAAAACTATGTTCTGTTATTATAATGTCACCATATGTTAAATAAATTTTGTTCTCCTCTGAATTTTACTGTTTCACCAATAATGCTAACTGTTACAGCATGAATAACATATTATTTAATTATCCTTTTACTGTGATGTAGACAAAACCATATGGCATCCGATAGAGAAAACAATACAATGGAGCTCTCATCAGAGGAGGATGAGGTTGTTGATGATTTTATGGATTTTTTGATGATTGCTTTAATGCATGACCATATCAACGCGTCAAGTAGTCGCCGACCGCAGCGAACGTGTCCATTCAGAGGTGGTGATTACATCTTCGGCCTATTAAATGGACATCCAGAAACAATGATGAACGTTATGCGAATGGATGCACAAACATTCATTTGATTGAAAGACACTTTACTCCATAATGGCTTTATCGATATTTAACATATGCATATCAGTGTGGACGAATCGCTTGGAATTTTTTTATACACTTTTGCATAAAATGATCGCCATCGAATAATGGCAGATAGATTTCAACACTCCACGGAAACAATTTGTCAGCACATAAAAATTGTTATGCGGGCATTGTGCAAGCTTTCATCATCGGTTATCAAACCACGTAACCTAGAGGACATACCGGGAAAAATTTTAAATGACAGGAGGTTTTTTCCCTGGTTCAAGGTACGAATAGTGTGATTGTCCTGTAAGTTTGTTCATATCAATAAGGGTTAATAAATATTATTTTTTTTTAATTATGAAAGTAATATCGAAGTTCGTTTCACTTTTAATATGAAACAAATATCTATTAATTAGGATTGTGTCGGTGCTATCGATGGCACATTGGTGGATGCATGGGTCCCTGCTTCAAGACAAAATACATTCCACGGTCGGAAAGCAATGGTATCGCAAAATGTACTCGCAGCTTGTGACTTCGATATGTGTTCACATTTATTAATTCTGGATGGGAAGGTAGCGCTCATGATAATGCTATTCTGGTTGACTCTATTACACGAGCTGATCTACAGTTCCCACACTCACTCAATGGTGACTATCCCTGAATAACATGCGGTACACTTATTTCCTTATCTGTTTTTGTACATATCAATTGACGGAACTGTGTATTCATTATTTACATGTAGGTAAGTACTATTTAGTTGATGTTGGTTTCACGAACATGCCTGGATTTCTTGCCCCATTTCGGTCTCAACGGTATCACTTGCAAGAGTTTCACGGCCATCGTTATGCAGGACCTAAGGAATTGTTTAACCATCGACATTCGTCATTACGCAATATCATAGAAAGAACATTTGGTGTTTTGAAGAAGCGCTTCCCAATATTGCGGTCCATGCCAAATTACAAGTCTACACGACAAGGGCCTCTCGTGATTGCATGTTGTGTAGTGCACAATTGGATCCGTTTGCATGCAGCTGTGGATCCATTCTTTATGGAAGCTGGTAATGAAATGGTCGCAGAAGCAGAAGCAGAAGCAGAAGCAGACGGCCTTGTTGGAGACCAAGCTGACTATGTTGACATGTCACAACATGGGTTAACATCCCAATCGAACGTTAGGGATGCAATTGCTACTGCTATGTGGCAAAATCATGTTCACCATTAATAGAAAAGGGATGTGAACAAGGCAAGTGAATATCATACTGATTACTGGTTGTAAATGTGTAATTATTTTACTAATTTCAGTCATTATGACACCGTTACAACATAACTTCGCCCAACCATCATTTCTGTGATTTACTGACTTCTTAGTAACTTTCATAAATATATATGTTGTTATTAAATTAAATGTGGTGGTGGCAGATGGGTGGTGGTGGGTGGTGGTGGTAGGTGGGTGGTGGTGGGTGGCAGATGGGTGGTGGGTGGTGGTGGGTAGTGATGGCAGGTGGGTGGTGGGTGGTGATGGGTAGTGGTGGCAGGTGGGTGGTTGGTGGTGGTAGGTGGTGGTAGTGATAAATTTACCATTTAAAAGTGTAACAAATAACAAATAATAATAATAATAATAATAACAATAATAATAATAATAAGTAAAATAACATAAAATAATTATTATATTTTACTTTTTTGTATCACACGATTTTATAGCAAAAGGTTGTATTCACTTTTTTGTACAAAAGGTTATATGAATTTTTTTTTCCTTTTCATTAAAAATTTTTTTGGTGATTATTAAATGTCATTTTTTTTGGGGAACACATGTTTATTATTAAATTGTAACTTGTTGTATTTCATTTCAGAACATTAATTTCATTTTTTCTATTAACGTCTACCATAGAACGGTCAACAGAACTATGAGTAATGTAGACGGACACAAGAACAAGTATTGGGGGGAATGACAAAGGTGGGGAAACAACCTGCTGGGGAAAGGACTACGATCCTAATGTTGGATGCAACAATTACACTACAATGTAATATATAATGAAAATGCTGGGGAAATGGCAATGGATATGGCACGCAGGCCAAACCAAATCTTGCCTAGGCAAGGCATGTACAGATACAAGCCGTGTCTAACATAGAACGGTCTACTGAACTATGTTTCAATGTGAAAAGTATGGGCACATACCAGACCAAGCTCAATCATGGAAAGGCACAAGCCATAGATGGAAGTGATGCAGTGAATGCATGCAAGCTACAATGCAATATACACTATATTAAAATGATGCATGACAATGCAACTATTTACGATGGTGCATGACAATGCAACTATTTACGATGATGCATGACAATGCAATTATATATTTTTTTGTTTGTTTTTTGAAATGCAAATGATGTATGAAATGCATGTTGCATGGAATGCACGACAACACGCGGCTTTTGAGATGCACGTGAACTTGAACATGCGACGACGCGAGTCGCTTGAAATGCATGTATAATGCAACTTATCAAAAGTCATTCGGGCACGACAAACAGCGAAGGCCTTGCACCTTCAGAGGATTTAGGGTCTCTTAGACCGTAAAAATTCTCGATATGTCTCACTCGGAGCATACCATACCTGTCCGGTTCGTCGGGTTGCACCAGCCTTAAATGAACCGTACATACAATATCATGCCTACAAAGAAAACAAACTTAACAGGTACAATGTGATTAACAACATGCATGTTAATTGTACTTGAAAATGCGTGACAACGCGAAGCAAGTGGGAAGCATAACAATGCTATGAAGGCACAGACATGTAAGTGGAGCACGTGGTCTACGCAGGTAACGAAATTGATCATAAGCATGCGGTCTACGCAAGCAATGAAATTGGTTTCAAACGTGCGGTCTACGCAAGTAGAACATGCAGTCTACGTAAGTAATGAATTTGAACATAAGAATGCGGTCCACGCAAGCAGAACATGCGGTCTACGCAAGCAAAACACGCGGTCTACGCAAGTAATGAAATTGATTACACACATGCGGTCTACGCAAGCAAAACATGCGGTCTACGCAAGTAATGAAATTGATTACAAACATGCGGTCTACGCAAGTAACGTAATTAATTATAAACATGCGGTCTACACAAGCAAAACATGTGGTCCACGCAAGTAATGAAACTGATTACAAACATGCGGTCTACGCAAGTAAAACATGCGGTCTACGCAAGTAGTGAAATTGATTACAAACATGCGGTCTACGCAAGTAGTGTGTATGAGAAGAGTTGAATGTACACATGTAAGTAAAAACATGTTATTCACGATGCTGGAATGTAAAGTACTGTAACACAGCATAATTGAAGCGATTTGTGGAATCCACAAGACATGAAAAGGATACGGGAAGGGACGTTCTTCGTACGTACCGAGCATCGCTCGTAGAAGTTGTGGCCTGAGGTCAACTCGAAGGTTCACGTTTCAAAAGTGTGCTTTCCCGCATTGTCTCGAGTGATGAAGGTGCCAAACCATGTAGTTAACCCGAACAAAGGTGCGGAAGGTGAGTTGACCACAAGGGGAGTTTTACTGGTACCAATTCCGACACTTTGCTACCCTGCCATTCTATGTTTTACTTTCCTTTTTACTGGTAGTTTAAGCACATTGCACTGCCTCGGGCAGGTTTTATTCTTCCTCAAAATTACATATTTTGCAAAACACGTGATGGGAATGAAACAACCATTTTGTTCAAAAGATGTTGCATTTGTAAATTTTCTATGCATCGCATCGCAAGGTATCACACTTTGTGCCTTTTCCGCACTTCGGCTTTTCCGGCCTTTTCCAGCCCTCTCGGGGTTGACTTTTTGTTGACTCTTCACATTCTCGCCCGGTTTTTCGTCTTCCGGTCATTTTCACATTCTCTTCGAGATGGCGGACGATCTTCCACAGGGCAGGACCCCTCCAGAGCTCGAGATGGATCCCGAGGCCGACCCCTTGCCACTTCGCATCTGGCCGTTCGATCCAGAGACCTACAGGCCTGCGGTTCATGTGATGCTCCCCGATGGACTACGCCAGTTCCGGAGCTTCGAGAGGGGCGTGGCACCCGAGCTTCGAGAGGGGCGTGGCACCCGAGCTTCTCCTGCGTGAGCCCACCTCCCATCTGTCCTTCGGCGCTTCCGAGGTAACATTCTTTCTTCTGTTTTATTATTTTCTGCAACGTAGAACATAACTGTCATTAGTTGATTCTATTCTTTAACTGCTTAGCCTGGATGCACCGATACACTGTACACTCTAGTTGATTGCAAACAAACTTACAACCGATATCTGTTTGAAACTTACACATGCACACACACTGCACTGACCCTGAATCGCCCAAACACACGGCGCACACTGTATTTTACTGCATACACACTGGTACCCGATATCTGCTTGAGTCTGAAAACATGCACACATGCTGTATTTGCCCTGAACCACTCAAATACGCTGACACATCACACGTTGTAGTTCACTGTAAGTACACCGGCACCCGATGTCTGTTCGAATTTGAAAACATGCACACATGCTGTATATCTGTATGCTTCTAAAAAACTGCATTTTGAATATTGCCTCGCAATTGTTGTTTTTGATTACAGGGGGATTCCCATACCATCCGCGGGTATGGGAATGTCGTTGCTCGGGATTGGTACATAGAGCTGCCAGATGCGGTTCGTCATATCGTCGACGAGGCCGGTTTCGGCATCTTCTGCAGGGGGCTCTCCCGGCTTACGACCTGCAGGCCCTTGCTTGCCGCTTTAGTGGAGAGGTGGTGGGATACCACCAACTCCTTCCACTTCATCGTTGCGGGGGACATGACGATGACCCCTTATGATTTCTCGATGCTCACCGGTATCGGGGTAGGGGGTGATCTGATCTCCTTCGACACCGATATGGATGAGTGGGACACCGCCCAGCTGTACCTGCTCGGCACTCAGCCTCCCCTCGCTCGAGCAGGGTTTGTCACGTACTCTTGGTTCGAGAGCCATTTTCGGATTCAGCTAGCCTTAGCGGAGGAGGCGCAGATGACCCCAGAGGAGGTGGATCAGTATGCGCGGGGCTTCATCATGTTTCTGCTCGGGACGACCCTTTTCGCCGACCGGGCGAACACCGTGCCTCTATGTCTGTTGAGCGCACTGGTGGATGTTAGGCGGATCCGCCGTTATGACTAGGGTGGCGCAGGCTTGGCCACATTGTATGGTTACATGAGCTCTTCTTCCCGCCTCAGCGGACAGCTTCTTGGCGGCTACTGGCGAGCTTGGGAGGTACATCTTCTTCCCCTTTTACATTTCTGCTTCACGTTTTCTGTATTCTGTACACTGCACACACCACGGTCTGCCTCTCACTGACTAATACTGCACACGCGGCACACATATACTCTGCTTTACTTTGACTGTATACTACACACACTGTATACCCTATACAATACACTGCACAACACACGGCTCTGCCATTTCTGCTTTATTCTGTATTTTGCTTTATCTGATAGTCATGCTTATATCTGTTCTGCAGTTATGGGTGTATGCCTACTTTCCCAGGCTTGCCCCAATACTTGATGTGGAGACCCCACTCGGCGTCCCCTTTTCTCATCGCTTTGATGTGCGATGCGTGCGGAGACCACGGGAGTCTTTTATTTTCTTCCGCCGCTACTTCGACACCATCACCGCCGTGGAGGTATATTCAACTTTAGAATTTGCTTAGGCTTCGCTTAGCACTGTATGTTTTCAATAACAGTAGATAACAAACTACATTTCATTTTCAGATCACCTAGCGGCCTTGGGCTACGTTGCCAGTCGTGGTGAGGGATCACTACGAGGGCGCAGAGGAGACTGCCCATTGCCGGATTCTATTGGAGGGCCCGGTCTGTCGGGCTTGGTACCTGGGCGAGCATTTTTTGCGTCAGACCTTGGGTTTACCGGAGCAGATAGTTCCGGGTCCGCCTCCTACACACATGAGGCATACAGAGGGGTTCTCTTTTGAGCACATGAGGGACTACACCGTCGGCTGGGGTGCAGAGTGCCACAGAGGCGAGGGCGACAATGCAGAGTACAGCGGCGCCGGCAGCTGGAGGGAGAGGCCAGCGGCGCCGGCAGCTGGAGAGGGAGCGGGGACTGGAGCAGGAGCATCGAAGAGAGCTCGAGTCCACGGCAGGGGCGGGGTTCAGAGAGGTCGGGGGGTTAGCTGGCCTGCTCTGCCCACTATACTGACATGCCGATGGCAGGGTGGGGCGACG